GTCCCCCTCAGGAACATTAGAAAAACTTATTTTCGAATTTCAACTTGAAACTTTGCATAGAGATAGGTCTTAACGAGAATATTTTATTGTGAAAGTTTCAGATCTTTTCGTTGTTCCTATCCTAAAGTAAGGCTATGGTAAAGCGTGCCTTTTACATTGCTCATATACACGAACAGATTCGATGTTCCTATCCTAAAATAGGAATAACGAAAAGATCTGAAACTTTCACAATAAAATATTCTCGTTAGGACCTATCTCTATGCAAAGTTTCAAGTCGAAATTCGAAAATAAGTTTTTCTAATGTTTCTGAGGGGGACTACGGCATTCTATTAAAAAATTCTGACATTCCTTAAGATCTCGTCTACAAAAGGGACGAGATCTTAATAAATCAATATCAAAACAGTTATATACTACTAACATACTTTCATTTTATAATGTTGTCAGAGTGGGGAAAATTTCGTGATTTTTGATCATCCCCTTTACTACTTTCATGCATCGATGTCTGTGTAGTCTCATTTTAATTTGAAACAAATCTTATTCAATTTTAGTATGTAGATCTGAGTGATGATTATCTTTAAATATCTACTCACCCCTTCAAGAATCATTATTTTCTAAGTGTTGATACTGATATTTTTATGTTGCATTGATTGAAAGACGTTAGAACATTGATATTTTCCGCCGAGATTGAGACACAATCACCTTTCATCAGAATTATATCATATGCCATGAAAATGTTTTGTTGATTTCATACAAAAAGTTGTTGATATATGATGATCTTGTGAGTCTTCTAATTTAATAGTGTTCAATATAATACATACATGAGTCTAATAATAATGAATTTACTGTATACGCACCAATTTATAGATCACTTTTAATAGCTAGTTTCCAGCGTTGTTCTTTTTGCTAAAGGACATATTTTCTAGAGTTTGAAAAATTTGTTCACACTTCTTGAATTGGAATTAATTGTAAAGCTTCATGAACGTGAACTTATCTTTAGTTAGTTGAATAGTAATGGCAAAATATAATGAAATCAACTTTTCAAAACATTCAATAAAGAGAATTGATTGAAAATTATACAAAAAATGAATATAATTTCATACACAGATTTTCAGTCTACTTAGTTAATCAAGAAGCCATATATTTCAATAATATTCTAAATTCAAAACAATATATATTAATTGGCAGAAAAACTCATCAGATATAGTGAAAGTGATTTTACCATGTGTCCAATAGAAATTCTAGCGATTGTCAAATCTCCATTTTGGATATCATTTGACAATTTTCTTTCCATGATGTATAGTGAAAAATAAATAGAAATTATGAAGAGGTATATTTATGATAAATATGAATTGCTTTAAATTTACAACAGC